ATTAATTATCAGCTGGCGTAATTATACGTATAGGAGGGTTCACAGAAGGAACAGATTCAATAGGAAAAGTTTTAATGTGCACAATATTGTTAATTTAACAAACAAATGATAAATATACATGATAAATATACTGACATTAATAAAAAAAGTTCGATCGTAACGTATCAAATTTTCATTTATCAGATTAGATTTTATGGATAAATATTTCACGCATGTACTTGATCGAAATATTTCAATACATAAAGATTTAACAGAATCCCCTTATTATTATTTTATGAAAAATATCATGAAACATGCTAGCAATAATCTATAATCATAAATTATCACCTATATCCTCCTGTCATTGGGATTCGATGATAAATGGTTTTCCGTGTTATTAATCGTGGATCACCAACTATTCATTTTTCATAATTCGTCGAGTGGTTGTTCAGAAATTTGTTAAAACTTCAGAAAGTATATATACGACTAAAAAAAAGTTTTGCTGTTTAATAATATGTTGTTATTTTTTTAATTAATTACAATAAATATTATGTAATTTATTACATATAACACAAAATAAATAGAAATAAAAATATAAAGAAATTGTTTAGATTTTATTCTTTAATAAAGAATAAAAAATACATTATTAGTTTTTCTTAAAAGAAACATTTCTTATTTTTCACAGAGATTGTTCTCTAATGTTTTGTATTTTTTTTACTTGCCGCTCGTAAATTGCTCTTTGCAGACACTCGTCTATTCTGCCAACCTCGCTTACCGATCGAGATTCGATCTTTCTCCTTCGGGACGCAGAACGTGGCCTCCGAACGCGAAGATAGACCTCGCCCAGAGGTGATGGCACACACCTAGTTTTGATTCACCTCATGGTATCCTGCCGGTCACGGGACTGACGGCGCGTAATTGTTCTCTTGTCTGATTCTCGCACGGCATCCAACACCCGCCATCCCCGCGATTGCCTTCGCGCCAAGAATGCATAAACAGCCTCTTTTACCAATCCGCAATGCTGTAAGCCTTCATCCGCTTACTGTTTCTGACACTGATCCATCGTTTTATAAAAACGTAAAAAAAAACAAATTGATAAATAATTGCTTCTTTCATAAATCGCTATTATTAATTAAATATTAAGGATGAAATAATTATGCATAAAATCTTGCATAATGCATAAAAAAATAAAGCAATCAAAGTCCTTCAATTTTTTTCTTTTTCATAAAATAAAAGATTTTGATTGATTGATTTTCTTATGCCTTATGCGTTATGATATGTAAGAATCTACGCTCCTTTCCTTAAAGATATGCATTTAGATATGCTAAAAGATATCTAAATGATTATTTTTATCTAAATAATTATTTATATCTAAATAAGATATCTAAATGAATATTTTTAAAACGTATTACATTTCGATTTTAGAAATTTAATGTCAAGTTATACCTAATTTGAGTTATTTTTATAGGTCATTAATTCCTACTCAATATGTTAATTTAACAAAATAATGAAATGAGAGAGAGAGAGAGAGAGAGAGAGAGAGAGAGAGAGAGAGAGTTTTTAACTCAAGAAAAGATGTGTTAAATTTGACTTAAATTAGTTTATTATTTACTAAATGCATACATTAATATGAATGTTGTTCCATGTACTTTGAAATTAATCACAAAAATGGATTAATTATGGATTAATTTGGACATAGAAGTTAAAAATAGCAAAATATTATTTTTAACTTAAGGGCTTGAGTTACTATTGCTCCTATGATATCTAACGATATAGTTAAAATTAAATTACCTACGTTCTAAAGCTTCATCTAACGTTACATTAATAATGAGTTCCACAGATGAATCAAATCTGTTCCTTTTTTTCAATAATTTAAAATTCACAATCTCCGAATCATTACTTCCGTATTTAACATCGCATCATTCCCGTCTCTGGAGTTTTATACGCATGAAGTATGGACGTGCAACCCGGCTCAGAAACCAATCAGCAATGATCCGGGAAATTGACAAACGATCTCCTTTTTTTCCCCTGTCGCACAATATCATTATCGGGCATTCCTGCAAATCGAAGCGTCCAATACCGTTAATGGATTATTAATGATCGGTAGAAATGTCGCGGCTGTTGGCGAATTGAGCTGCCTAGCAGCTGCTCGATTTGCAGACGCATATGTATCGGCCAGGATTCGGCATCATTCGGTCGCATAATTTCCCGCACTGGCAATCATACTGCGCGACGATAATTGGCACACGACCGACAATCGTCGTAATTTCGCGTTCCCGCTGCGCAAATTCTGACGTGTGACACGCGACGGATCGGCGCTCCTGGGAGGCACCTCATTCAATTAGCCACTCAGTTACTCGCATCACATCGCATTTACCCATCAGACTCCCGCTCGGTGAACTCTCTGACGACCCTCGCCGAATCTCCTCGTCTGCGCGCCGTGGGGGCCGCCACGAATTTGGTTTCCCCGCGAATTCGTGATTTAAACTTTTCGCGAACGATGACGCGTGGAGGTATCTTCCTTGAGTGAGACTCACGTACAGAAGGCAAGGAGGATCTCACGAAGCTGTCATGCAGTAAAACGGCTTTAGTTCGTGTGTCAAAACGTTAGCGGTTTTGTCTCTCAATCATGCTTCGTCTGTGAAACTTCATTAGTTTTCCTATCCACGTGTCTCTTTCAGCGTTTTATCAAGTGCTCGTTAAATCAACGGCTTGTCAAGAAATTGCTCTTAGAGACTTGTCTTTTCTATCTTGCGAAAAGAAACTAAACAATTTAGTACTATATATTTACCACTAAACATAAAATATTATTATATATAGATAAATTTTTTATTATACAATACTATATTTGTTACTGTCTTTCTATTTCAAGTTTAAAATTCATAAGCAACTTTTCATACAAATATGAATTAATTTCGTGTATATTACAGTTTTTTTAATTACAACATTTCTATAGAGAACGACAAACAACAGCCTTTTTCCCAGGGTCAAAGTAAATGATCGCCAACCTATCGACAAAGGTGGCGGAAGTCGCGCCGTGGAGTCGCAGAAGTTTCTACGAATCCGCGGCTGGTTGCAAACTTGCCGAAGGGTCGAAACCGCCGGCGCCGTGAAATTACTCGACGGGTACCTCCCACGGGGCCGAACTTGTCCGCGACAATTTCAAACTTATTTTAACATTCATATAAGCCCCGTGCCCTCGCCTCGTGTGCGAGCACCCCTGAACCATCGTCTACGCATCCCTTTCGCTGCGTAACCCTAGAAGCGATCCATGTATGACGTTCCTTCCTCGATGTAAAGACGTGCAAGCATAAGGGCGGCTTGGGATTTACATAAGATTATGCGTAAGCTTTCGTACGCCTGGTAAGGGGATCGACGAAATGATGTCGCGGTGAAACAACGCTCCGGGGTATGCTCATCTCGCACTGATAATTATAATAAAGTGGCGTTGTATGACGTACGAGCGATGTGATAAGCGTTATTGTCGATTCCAACATAGTACAAGCAATCAGATATGATTTAAGATTCTTTTATCGGTTTTGCAATGCGTTTTGATTTCAAATCTTGTATAGAAAGTTATTCGCAGTATCCTTATATGTATGAGAGAAAAATTTGATTTAAAATAATTATCTTAGTTTTTGCAATCTTATTGTTATTTTGTTTATTATATATTTTACATTTTATTTGATTATTTTTTTATTTATGATTTTATCAATAGTTGAAATATATTTTTTACTATCACATGTTTACATATAAATTCTCCTAAACTAATACTGATAAATGATGTGCAATACGCACACTGCAATACGCGCATATAAAAGTTTATAAAATTAAATTAATACGGAGTACAAATTATATAAGTTACAAATTATTAATTTATATAAATAAAACGTGTAAATAATAAATAATTCTTTTTCTATGCATGATATAAAAATCACTTTGTATATGCTAATAGAAATCGATTTTTGTTAGATATACAAACTATTTTATATTTCAATGAGCCAACGAGATTTATTATCACGCATAGCCATTCTTTGCCTCGTGGCGTTGTTAAATCTTACTACCTACCCCGTGATGCGTTTTATATTCATAGTCTGTGCGAAAATTGCTCCTAGAGCACAATAAAGATTATACGAGCCATAAAGTAAATTCAGCCTACCCTGTCGATATTTATTTAAGCGTGAGAGATATGCTATGTATTCTTTCTTAATTTTTCTTTGGTGTTATTTTATATTAGTTTTATTTTATATTATTATAATTTATATTATTGTTCTTCTTTCTTGTTATAAAAGCTTAAATATATTTAATTGAGGCAAACCGACAGTAGTTAATGCAACATTACATCGTACCGGCCGAGTGAAAAATTTCCTCTGCTAGATATTGATGGCACAGATCCGAATAAGCCTGCACTCTCATGAAAATAGCTAGAACTACACGTTCACCGAAACACGGTTAATAAAGAAGATTTCATGGGAGAAAAATCTCAGGAACGCTTGTTTTCGAGACAAATTTCGTATCATTTTGCGTACATAAAAAAAAATGCGGAATTAATTATATTAAATTAATTATATTATATATTGTAAATAAATATAATTAAAAATAAAAAACAAAAATAAATAAAATAATAAGATATAATTCCTTAATTCATAAATGACGGCAACATAACGGTATATGGTATCATGTTTTCACTGATTATTAGAAATGTATGCGCAAAAACATACTTAATTTCCTTCCACCATGGAAAATTTTTTTCTATAGAAAAAATTGTTGGAAACAAATTACAATCGCAATCTCAAATCGCAATAGATATTTTTAGAAAAATTATTTATCGAAATTGCATATGCTTCGTGTGAAAAAAAACGTTAATTTTTAAATAGTGTTTAATTAATAAAATTAAAAATTTTTTATTTTCTTCTTTTATGTAGAAAAAATGTTGCGATTACAAATGTCCCTCTTTCGACGAGAGACATCCGTTTTTATGTATGCCTTTTGCAATAACCTTCATACGTCACAAATTTCAGGACAAAATAAATTGAAACGACGTAGCAACTGTGAACCTGTAACCGTAGCCGTAGTAAGTATTATACATAATAATCTGCTTTTTTTAGGTACTTTATGTAGAGTAAAATAAAAATATTTGCTCAAAATTATGAATGTAATTTATGCATAAATATTTGCTACATTATTATTATTATATATATAAGTCATGTATAATTTTTTTATTTAAATATCTTGCATTTTAATACTTACTGAATTGACTTGTTTAAAGCATTTTGTGCGACATTCTGTTAATCTTTATTTTATATATAAATCCGTTTTTATGAAAGTTATCTATAAGACACAAATTATACTTTTGTTGAAAACTGATTTCAAATATACATAATGTTATTTCATTTTATAAAATTATTTAACATCAGAGAATAAAATATTTGGTATTAGGTAATAATTGTTGTAATTCCCGTTTAATACCCAATTTAAATAAGTTTAAAATACAGTTGCTCACTTGGGATTTATAACTATGTCAGAACTATTAAAAACATTTTCCTTGTATAATTCTGCATATGAGTTAAAAGTGATGTTGGTATTCCATACTTTCGTAGTATGACGCAACGTTTCATCGGTGCGGAAAACGATTAAATTTTTTTCTGTTAAAAAAATCATCGCAAGAAAATGTACCGGTAGTCGTTAATCCCGAGCTATTAAATCTTTGTAATGATAATACATCTTTATAACGTGAATGTAAGAAATATGTTGTGATGTATTTTTTAGCAGCGCTCGTTTAGCCTGCATGAGCGAAA